ATGGTCACTAACCCCATTCTGCTGCCTGATCATGATAAAAGGAATCTGGGTGCTCAGACTTCAGCTTCTTCCTGTCATTCACATACCAACTCAGGACTGCGGAATTCCTGATGTCATCCTAGAGGGTTCCATCTTCCTGTTGGTCACCCTGCCATTTTACTGCATGGTCCCTCCCCCATCCAAAACAGGAATAAGTCTTCACTTCTCAGTTTTAGTCTTCCAAAGAGAAATGAGCCCCATTGGGCACACTGATAGCTAAGAAATGCTGAGATCTCATCTCATCGTGAGTACAGTCCCAACTGATACTAGTGTCCCTCCAATGCTTCCCTCCCACTCTCACCTCCTGCAGCCCTGACAGCCCACCACTCACCTCTCCCAACTGAAGGCTCTCTCCATGGAGCTGTTCTGGGGCAGTGGCTCCCCTGCAAAACTAAGTATCTGGATGCGGTAGCCTCGTGGGTGACCCCACTTATTGCTGTGGTTGCTGGCCAGGTACAGGTAGCGGGGAGTGGCCCCTCCCAGGGGGAAAGCAGCCTGCTCCTCTGTTTCCAGCAGCTTTCGGGTCACCTGCATTCTCTGTACCTGGTGTTCAGGATGCCAGGGCACAGTCGTGGGGACAAAGGCCATGTCTTCAGCCCAGACCCAGTTCTCCAGTCCTGTGTGGGGTGGGTGAGGGTGGAAGGCTGATCATATAGTTGCCCCGGTCCCTCTGGAGTCCTCCCCCACCTGGCTTCAGAGGGGGGTCAAAGAGCATCCCAGGACAGAGTGTGGCCTCTGTTTCCTTTCCCTCTGAGACAACCCCAACCTGCCAGTCGAAGATGTTGATCTCTAATTAAAATATTTTTTCAATATTTCATTCATTTTCCTTTCAGCATTCTTCTTATTATTATAAGGTGTAGATGGACACAATACCTTTATTTTATTTATTTATATGTGGTGCTGAGGATTGAACCCAGGGCTTCACACATCCTAGGCAAATGCTTTACCACTGAGGCACCACTCCAGCCCCTTTCAACATTTTTTTTTTTTTTTGGTACTGGGAATTGAACTCAGGGGCACTCAACCACTGAGCCACATCCCCAGAGGTATTCTGTATTTTATTTAGAGACAGGGTCTCACTGAATTGCTTAGTGCCTTGAAGTTTCTGAGGCTGGTTTTGAACTTGAGATCCTTCTGTCTCAGCCTCCCAACTGCTGGGATTACAAGCATGCCTGGTCCTTTCAACATTCTTCAGCAGACAGGACTGTGCTTGCCCCTGGGGACAGAGATGAATGAAACACCATCCTAACCCTACTGTTGTCCCAGGGGACAAAGACAGGAAATCACTGCCTACCCTATAATGGGAGAGGGGCACGGGTGAGGCAGAATCAGGGTTACAGGAATATAGGTGCAGGCAGTGATATGGCCCCTCTGGGGCAAATTTTCTGCCTAGCCTGAAGGGATGTCACCAAAAGAAATGACATGGAGGGTCATTCTAGGCATGAACAAAGCCTAAGCCAAAATCAAGAAGACTAACTATAACCTGTTTGCTCAGGCACAGGGAGGATGTGGGTGTGGCTGTGGTCAAGCAGGGCAGGTTGGAGCTCCTCCAAGAGGGGATGACCCTCGTAGTTTGTTCTGTAGCTGATGTCCTGCAGAGGCTGGGTAAGTTGGGAGCTATGTAAATTGCAGGCTGGCACGGGTGGCCCTCTTGACACAGAGTGGACCCTGGATCTGAGAGCATCAAGAGGGGAGGCAGCAGAGAGAGGGCTGACATCTATAGGGGTTACCAGTGAGGGTTCTGAGATATTGCAGAGGCAGAGCAGGGGAAAAAACAGTGATAATGAACTAAAGGAGGGAAGTGAAAAGACAAAGACAGAAATTTCAAGAAATCATGTAGCCTTGACTCTGACCAACTTCAGGAAATTCCTGGAATTCTCCACAGTATTCATTCTACCTCTCACATTGAAGTTAATTGTGGCCAGAATGAGTAATAGAAAATCAGGAAAGAGGAGGACACATCTCCCAGGAAATGTACAACCTAGGTTGTTCCATGATGGTCTCCTTGTGCCAGGGACTCAGCAGAATGCAAACAGATCCTCTAACATACCAGCACTATGGTCCAGACACAGAGAAACGAGCCGGAAAACCAAGAGCTGCCTCCCTGAAGTGGGGCCCACATAAGTGCATAGGAGATAATAGGGAACAGACCCTGGCTCCATCCTGACTTAGCCATTTCTCAATATTTTCTTTCTTTCTTTTTTTTTTTTTCTTTTACTGCAATACTAGGGGATTGAACCCAGGGCACTTTACCATTAAGCTGTATTACCAGCCCTTTTATTTTATTTTCAATAAATTTCATTTTATTAAACTACTGAGGGTCTTGTTGGCCTTGAAATTGGGATACTTCTGTTTCAGCCTTTGTGGCATATGCCACAGAGCTCAGATGTTTATTTTTTGAGACAGGATCTCTCTAAGGTGCTCTGGCTGGCCTCAAACTTGCTATCTTTTTACTTCAGTCCCCCATGTCTCTTGGATCATTGGCATGCAGCATAGCACCCAGCTGATTCCCAAGATTTTCTAACGGGGTCACATGGAGGAAAGCTGGCAGTTGAGCTCCCAGCCAGCAAGCTAAGATCCAAATAAAATTCAACAGCCAGCTTTCTCCCATACAGCCAGAAGGGAACCATGAAAATCAAAATTCTTTCTTTACTGCATAACAAAAAATCCCAAACAAATGGAACTCTTCAGTCCTTCTTGCACAATCCTTGGTCCCCATCAAGATGTCTTACCTGCCACATCCAGATCCACCTTGAAGTGGGCACTGTGGGTGTGAACTGTGCCTAGCGTGTGTTCCCCAACTCGGTTCCCATACTTTTGGGCAGCACCAAAGAGGAACGAAGAGCTGATGTAGCCCGTGGCATGGACTTTGACTTCTATGGCCCCGTTGGGGTGGAAGATCATATCCCACACATAGTCATAGTTGAGCAAGGTAGAAACAGATCTGAAGACCAGCACTGTCTCTGCAAGGCCCCCAAAATAATAGGAGTTGAAATCTGAGTGATGTCGCCGCAGGGGGAGGCCCTGATTCTGTTCAAACACACAAAAGGCATCATGTATTGTCTTGGGGGTCTGGGACTCCAAAAGGAAGTGCCAGTCCACATATGTGGCCAGGTAGGGGCAGTCCACCCCACGCGTCAAGGGTGTGGAGTACTTGCCAATGCCAAAGCTACCATCCATATAGCGGGTCAACATTGCAGCTGGGGAATTTCCACCATAGATGGCCACGGCCTCCTGGACGCTGACTTCATAGGCCACCCTCTCCCTTTGGAAACGGATGTCAAAGATCCTCGGGCCACTGAAAGCTCCAAGGCCAAAGGAGAAAGTCCACATTGAGGAGGCCACTTGATTCCCCTGGACACTGAAGCGGGGACCCTGGGGATGGAACTGCAGAGGGGGAGCCGGACCAGGGGGCACTGGGGACTTCAGGGACCAGGACCCACCTGTGCCATTGTCTGGGATTACCACCACATTCACCAGGCCTGCCTCAAATTGGTCCTCTAGCTGGGCCAGACTCTCATAGTAGCGGCCTTGATAGAATACCTTCTGGATGGTCCAGTGGGCAGGGTTCAGGGCCTTGTGGTCCACCAGCAGCTCCAACCCCACAGGGTGCAGGAAAAATCCAGCCCCTGAGAGGTTGTAGTAGAGGCCAAACCAGGTGGCCCGGTCCCCTGATTGTAGACCACGGGGAGCCGTGGTCATTGTCACCAAGTTTTTTCTCTGAATTTTGTAGAAGCAGCAGTGGTGAAGGAGTCCCTTAGCCTGGGGCAGTTCTCTGTTGAAGATCATCTGGTCTATGTCCAGGTATTCTCGGATCAGCACAGGGCGTCGGTGGTAGGGCAGGGGGCCCCCATGACGCTCCACAGTCACATCCCGCATGTAGGAGGGGTGAGGCAGTGGCCCCACCACCAGCTCACTTACATTGGGCTGGGATTGTCCACCAAAGAAGATGATGGCCAGTGCTTCTCGGGCAGGTGGCGGGCCCCCTCTGTCCAAGTGGGTCAAGGCAGCAGCCTTGGGGGGCAGCTGCAGCTCCACTGAGAAGACACAGTTGTCTGAGGGGCGAGCCTGGGCTGCATCCACCAGCCCTGGCCCCAGCTTCTGGGCCAGAAAACTCATCACAGCTGTCAGCTCCTCTGGGCTCAGGTCTGCAAACAGTTGGCTCTGGGCAGGGTGTGTCCAGGGCTGGGCACTTGGAGATACAGAGGGGCAATGGGGAAGTTGGCTAGGTTCAGTCCCATCTCCACCCCTGCCAGCTAGTAGGACACAAACCAAGGCAAAGATGGTGATGATGGCCAGAGCGAGGAGCACCAGGGTGGTCTTCTGGTTCATTGTCCCTTGAGATGGGGCAGGATTCTACCAGTGTGAATCTGTATATTCTCAGGCAAGCATGAGAGGGGCTCTCTTGGCTGCTGGACCAGGGGCTCCGGCTGCAGTTCCTGGTAGTCAGCTGCTTAGGCTGAAGGCTGCCCAAGAGGAGGAGGCAGGCAGGGTGGGGCGGGGGGAGGGGCACACCAGAGTTGGGGGGCGGTCTCAGCAGGCTGCAGCAATTTCCACAGACCTTACATGGCTTTGTTTTCCAGGCTCCAAATCAGACTCTGCTCTGTAGGTCAGGGTTGGAGTTGGGGAAAGCTGGGGCTGGCGGAAGGGGGAAAAAAAGAGCTTGTGCAGAAAAATCCACCACCAGCAAAGAGGTGGGTCTGCCCAGCAGTCCCTGGGCCTCTCAGCCCGATTTCTTCTATAAGCCCCACCTTCTCTGGGCCAGATGTTCTCTTTCCTGTAACTGGGAACTATTGTTCTCCTCCCAAGCAAACCCTTACCTCCAGCTTCCCAAGCAGCATTCCTTGGCCAGGTCTACCCCCCTTGCACTCTCTCCTCCATTGCTAATTTCATTGGCATGAGTCCTCAGTATTCCTTAGAGGACTCTACACACTTAAAAAGTCAAACAGAACAAACTCAAGTGAAATTCTTATAAGACTTTTTATTATCAATTACACATAACAACCATTCCTTTTTAATACACATGCATAAAGGAATGCCTGGTATGATGCAAACATCAGCTAATTCTGAGTGGTGGGATTTGTGGTGTTTTTGCTTGAATATTTCAAAATTGTTTTTATAAATTTGTCATTTACAAAATGAGCAGAAAGTAAGAATTAACCAAAGTGACACATGGAGATTTTATAGCTTGGGAGGAGGATATTCCCTAAGGAGTACGGAGGGCAAAGAGTCTGAGGAGCAATGTGATAAAAACACAGGGAACTGAAGGGGGAATGGAGAAGGCAAGTGTCTCTCATCAGATGCTGCTCCCTACCCCTACCCCCTATGTTCCCCCCTACTCTCAGATCTAGAAACCTTGATAAGAAAAAAGGGGAAGGTCTGGGATACAGGCTGCCAAGTTGGGGGTGCAGGCCACAGGGTTGATACTGCAGAGCCCAGCATCCTGGCCCCTCTCAAAGTAGACACTGCCAGGGGAGAAGATGGAGGGGTCCTCATCAAAGAAGTTATGAGGTTGGAGCAAGAAGCCAACTCTGTTCCCCAAAGTCACCGTATTGGGGACATCCTCAGCATGGGGAATGTGCAGGAAGCTGGCTGTAACCCAAGCCACCAGATCCTGCAGGAAAAAGGAAGAGCTGGAGGATTTTGGAGGCAAAACCCAAAGAACCACCCCTCAGTCACAACTCCCTCAGGCTGTTTTATGCCTCTGCCCAGCAGCTGGAAAGTGGGCAGTGTCCCATGACTAATCTCACCCTAGGAGGGATGACCCATTTGGTCAACAGAGAACCCCTTGCCCCCAAATCAGAAATAGAAACCATTCCCTCTAACCTATGGCTAGAGGCTGGGCAGCCAAGATGCAGGCATAGAGGAGCAGCCCTCCTGAACCTACAGCTACCAACCTCTCCTAAGAGGGTTTCGTTGTTGATGAAGTCAGCGAAGACAATTGAGGGTGTCCAGATGTCAGACTGGAAATAGATGCTGCTGCTCTGCGATTCCTTCTCCTTCCTCTGGGTCACCACAAGCTGGTATCTGACCAGGAATTGTCATAGGAAGGTGGTGTTGGAAAATATCAAGAGCCATTACTAGCCCACAAGTCCTTTGGATCACATTCTGAGAGTCCATTTCCCACCCCATTTCTACTTGGATCTGAGGGCAGGTCCAGGGATAAATGGTAAGCCATGGGTGGTGAGTTAGGGCCAGTCCTTCCCTACCACCCACTGTCCAGGGCCCTCCTCACCTCCCCCAGCTGAGGGCCCTCTCCATGCTGCTCTCCAGGGGCATGTGTATGCCAGGGGGGCTGTGGATCTGGATTCGGTATCCACGCTGGTGACCCCAGGCATTAGTCTGGTTGCTGGCCAGGTAAAGGTAGCGGGGAAGGGGGCTTCCCCAGGAAAATGCTGCCAAATCCTCCCTTCTCAGGACCTGCCGTGTCAGCTGTGGCCGCTGCAGCTGGTGCTCTGGGCTCCAGGGGACTGCAACAGGTTTAAACACCACGTCTTCTGCTACCACCCAGTTTTTCAGCCCTGTCAGGGTGAGGGAAGGGAAAGGAGTTCTACACCAAGTAAGGTGGTTTGGACAGGCCCATCTTCCCCACAATGCTAATTGCACTGGCCTGACATCAGAGAGTACCACCCTGTGCTAGCACAGTGTTACCCCACCATCTTCTAACTTGCCCTGTCCAGTAGGATAACCACTATTCTCATGTGGCTTTTTAAATTGAAAATTCAGTTCCTTGGATGCAGTGGCCGCATTTACATTGTTTGGTAGCCACATATGGCTAGCAGCTCTTGTATATAATGACAGCACAGATACAAACATTTCCAGCATTGCAGAAAGTTCCATTAGCATTTGCCCACCAACAGATCTTATACCAATATTTGCTTCTCTGATTCTTTCTGAATCTCTACCCTAGGCATAATCAAAGCAGTTTTATTGCTATTTTTCCAATAAATGGAAAAACACATGCAACTGGGTAGTAACATTCTTTTAACTATGAAAGGAATCTGTCTTGGAGAAACTAGTTAGGAAAACTCAATCCCCTCCCACAGTCCCAGATCTCCAAGCTCTGTGACTGCTTTCTACCAGCAAGGTAGGGAAAGCTTCCAATCATTTTCAAAATCAGCAGATTTGTAACTCTTTCTTTTTCCTTGCAGTACTAGGGATGGAATTTAGGGGCGCTCTACCACACCAAGCTACATCCATGGCTCTTGTTATTTTTTGAGTCTCACTCAGTTGCCCAGGCTAGCCTTGACTTATGATCCTCCTGCCTCAGCCTCCCAAGTTACTTGGATTATAGACATGAGCCACCATGCCCGGCCAGATTTGTCTTTTGTTTGGGAGTGCCTTGGAATTCTATTGCACCCACAGCCTGCATTGCCCAAAGCAGTATTTGATCACTCTCTCTTCAGGTTGAGACTGTTAGTTCCTTTAAATGTGACCTATGGAAGGTACCTGACAGTGAGGCACTCCACTGGGGCTAGCACCTCTGCCAGCTGCAGTTCTGTGCTGGCACCTAACTACCAACTTCTGGTCCCACAGCAGCAACCTGGGCTGCACACACTAGCAACTCAACATTAACATTACCTGACTTGACTTCCCAAAATAAGGCTCTTTAATGCCAAAAACACTGAAGTGAAACTTCCAATTGGAAAAGTCATAGTCCAATTATGTCAGAGTAATCTAGCTAATATGATTATTTCAGATGTGTTTTGGCTTGAGTTTTTCCTCCGCCCACCCCTCCACAAACTCAAGCACAAGCCTGTATGCATGTAGGGTACACATTTTGTACATAGGAGGCTAATGTTTCACAAGAAATACTTAGTTATACTGCATTATTCTTGAGCAGACAATTCCTGCCCCATCCTCCTTAATTTCCCCAACTATAAAATGAGGAGGGGCTGGTGGATATCTAATTTTCTTTCTGGGTCTAAGTCTGTGATTTGACAAGTTTGCTTTCTGTCCTTGAAAGATCTGTCAAGAGCAGCAAGTCTTCTTTAAGAATTCCTTTCTACACTTGCAACAAGCCTATCACATATCTGACTCATCTCTGGAAAGTTAGTTCATTGTGATCACAGGTATGGGGCAGCCCTCCCCACAAGGCCAGTTAGCACTGTGGAGAAACCCCTAGTATGAGACCCTGTCCTCCAAGCCCCAGGTTGCTTTCTGCCTATGCTCAACTCTGCCCTCCCCACCCCCACTCACTCTCAGGATTACTGAGCAAGTAGCAAAGTGCATAACTCCAGCCCCATCCAAACTGACAGGGCTAATTCACTCTCCTAAGGTGTCACCCAAGGCTAAAGCAGCCAGACAGACAATACATTTAAACTAGTTTCACAACTGCTGCTGGTCCTGGAGGTTGGGGCTGGGTGGAAGAACCCTTTACACCTTTGGCCAGATACCCAGAAGCCCAGACGTGGACTAGCTGACTACACTCACAGTCCAGGTTCTCCCCTTCCATAATCACTGTGGAGTTGGCATAGTTGCCTTGCTGTTCACGAGACCTCAGCTTAACCTAAGGGATTCCCTCCCCTCCCCTAACCCCACCCCTCAATTTTCACACCCTGAATACTCACCTGCCACATCCAGGTCCAGCTTGAAGTGGAAGGCGTGCGTGTGCACCGCCCCCAGCACCCGTTCCCCTACACGATTACCAAAGAGGAGGCTCTCTGCTCCTCCACTCAGGAAAGCTGTGTTGACATAGCCTGTGGCATGGACCCGCCCTTCAAGCGCCCCATTTGGGTGCAACACAAAGTCCCAAATGTAGTCATAGTTACCCACAGATGACACAGACCTGACCACAAGGGCTGAGCTGGCCAAACCACCATAGAAATGACTCTCAATGTAATTGTGGTGCCTTCGAAGAGGTAGTCCCTGAACCTCCTCAAATACACACACTGCCCCTGGGAGCAGCTGGACTGTCCCTTTGCCTGCTAATATATGGATGTCCACCATTGTGGCTTGATAGGGGCAGTCCACACCCCGTACTAAGCCTCGGCTGTTACGGCCAAGTCCATAGCTGCTATCCAAATATCGGGTCATCATTGTCTTGGGTGAGTCAGCACCATAGACAGACAGGCACTCCTGGACACTGACTTCATAGGCCACTCGCTCACCCTTGAACCGAACATCAAAAATCCTTATGCCACTAAACACCCCATGGCCAAAGCTCAATGTCCAGAGGGGGGATACCACCAAGTTCCCTTGTACATTGTACTGAGAACCCTGGTGTGAGAAATGAAGAGGTGGAAGAGGGCCCAGGGTGATTCGGGACCTGAGGGATGAAGACCCATTTGGTGTGGGTAGAGGCACTCTAACCACTTCTAGCCGGCCAGCTTTAAACTCCCATTCTAATTGGCCCAAGTCTGCATAGTAGTGCCCAAGGTAGAAGACCTGCTGGACAGTCCAGCGGGCAGGGTCCAGGGCACTGTGATCCAACAGTATTTCCAGCCCCACAGGGTGAAGGAAAATACCAAGACCTGAGACATTATGGTAGAGGGCAATCCAGGTAGCCCGGTCCCCTGAGCGCAAACCTCTAGGGGAGGAATGTAGAGGTGCCAAAGTGGAGCCATTGTAGTTCAGGACAGAAGCCAGGAAGACAGGTGCCTTGGGTAGTTCCACCTCTTTCAAATGCCTCCATGTCTGTACCAATTCAGATCTCAGCATGGGACGTCGGTGATAGGGCAGTGGACCACCATGACGCTCCACAGTCACATCCCGCATGTAGGAGGGGTGAGGCAGTGGCCCCACCACCAGTTCACTCACATTGGGCTGGGGTTGTCCACCAAAGAAGATGATGGCCAGTGCTTCTCGGGCAGGTGGCGGGCCCCCTCTGTCCAAGTGGGTCAAGGCTGCAGCTTTGGGGGGCAGCTGCAGCTCCACTGAGAAGACACAGTTGTCTGAGGGGCGAGCCTGGGCTGCATCCACCAGCCCTGGCCCCAGCTTCTGGGCCAGAAAACTCATCACAGCTGTCAGCTCCTCTGGGCTCAGGTCTGCAAACAGCTGGCTCTGGGCAGGGTGTGTCCAGGGCTGGGCACTGGGATATATGGAGGGACAGCGAGGATGCTGGCTGGAACCACCTTGCCTGGTCAACAAGATGTAGGCCAGAGCGAAGATGGTAACAAGGGACAGCACCAGGAATACCAGAACCACCTTGAGCTTCATGGTAGATGCTGAAAACTAAAATCAGAATCCTACCAGCAGCTCCTTCCAGTTCCTGACATCAAGTCAGTGTTTATATTCAGTAGGATGGATACGAATGGAGAAAACTCCACCCTGTGGGCTGGACAGGAAATGTCTAACCTGATTTGCATAATTTTGTTCCAATTTTCTGCCCTGTGGTTTGGCTTTTTCCTTGTCCCTGAACTCCTACTAGTAGCAGTAAGTATCAATCACTGATTCCCATCACTTAGACCAGTTGAGAATGCATCTGGACTAATGATACGAAACTTCACCTTCCACCCAGAATAGGTCTGAGAAGAAAGCAAATCTCTGGTGCCTAATTCAGTTCTGCATATCACACATATAGGCAACCAAACCATTTTTTTTTTTTAACTTTATGCCAGGCACTAGACTGCACTATACTCCAGTAGCTCCAGGATATACTGCCCCGTTCAGCAGTAAGCACTCAGTTCTGCCTGTGACCTAATGGCAATCCCCTCATTTAGCTTCAGGCTTCTTCTATCTAATCAGTGAGAAAGGAGGAGAGGTTGAGGGCCTGGCCTTTGTATTCAGATTCCAGCTTCCTAAGCTGTGTGATCTTAGGGGAGAGACTTAAATTCTGAGTCCTCACCTATACAGAAGGCATAAAACTACCCAATAGATTCTTAAAGGTTAAATGTGATCGTGCATATCAAGTGCTTACCAACCCAACACAGGGTAGGTAGTCAAAAAATTGCTAGCTATTGGTACTAACCTGTGAAAGAGAACAGAGTAGATGTACTCTCATTGTTTAAGACCTTAAAACTCTTTACAGAAACAATGGGATCATTGGAAACCATAAAGCTACTTGCAAGATGAGGAAACTTTATTTCAGAGGGAAATAAGAGTCCTAAGCAGCCCTCCAAGTAATTTTAAAACCAAGACCAGAATCTCCTCAACAATTTAAGACATTATTCAGAGAGGAGAATTAATATAAGGTAAAGAAAATGACTGAGGATATTCCTTGACCACATCATTCCCCACATGGAACTATAGCAGCCTCTACTGGCAGCTCATGGGAAGGAAGGAACTAGGATCTTGTGCAGGTAGGACAAAAGGCAGCTAAGGTTTGGGAAGAGCTAACTTTCACATAATTTCAAAATGAACACAAAAGAAGGACCCACCCGTCCCTCTTGGTGGGCATGTCTCAGTCTTTCCACTAACCTAGAAAAAGAGGCAGCTCAGTTGGCAAAAGGACACACAATAGCATGGCTGGAGGTGTTGTGGAGGCAGGTGTCCGAATATGCATGCATGAACCAGTATGTCCCTTGCCACTAGAGCATGGCACCAGGGTCTCCAGCTTTAGAAAGAGGTCAAAGTACCTGTATTTTTAATAATTTCTTGACATGGTAAAAGAATTTTACATTACAATCCAAGGGTAGTAAGGTGAGGAGGCAGCAGAACAATTGAACAAAAAGGGAAACTGAGAAACACATGGTGGGAGGAGGGAAGGGTTTTAGTTGGAAAGGATGCAGGGGTACGGGTAGGTAAGGGCACTGCCCAACTAAAATGCAATTGGTTTGTTACTGAACACTATTCATGGGAAGACAGCATCCCGGCTCCTTTTCTACAGAATACTGGGAGTAAAAATGATGCATCCCAGATGGATATGATTGGGGTTGGAAGACAGAGACAGGGAAGAATAAAATTCAGAAATAGACACTGAGAGTCACTGGCAGACTGACACAGATATCAACTCTCATTAGCAGGAAAATAAAAGCTGGGGGAAAACGGGGGTTAACAAAAAAAGCTGTAACAATAAATGATATCTCTGGAAGGTTCAAGAGAGGCAACTGACTCTTCTATGGTTTTGACTTGCCTGGCGTATTCCCACACGCACACATATATACATCATATGTATGTGCACACACACACATATACACACAAATGACTGCTTTCCCCAGAAGCACAATACTATAAATAAGAGAAATATTTCCCAAAGGAGCAGCAGCGTCTAGACCTCACAGTTGCAGACACCCCACCCCAATGTACAACTGGCCTGGGAAAAGGCAATCAGGAGTCAAAGGACCAGCCATTTCATAACACCAGAAGGACCAAGTCAGAGAAGAACAGGCCTAACCCAGCCCTTTGATCTCCACTCTTAGTTCTCCTCCAACTCACCCTGGGCACCAAGCAGCAACAATATCAGGAGGGAGGATGGCTCCAGGACTTATCCCTGGGTATATGACAACTAATACAACTATCACCTCCTGAAAGGGGTGTGTGTGAAAGGGACTACAGAGGAAGAGGAAGGTATGCAAGGTACTGGAGTAAGAAGGTGTGTGTGCAAATCCATATGTGTGTGTACAACACGTATATACATGTGTATGTGAAACCCCCAGTTATAAAACATCTGAGGGTGTTAAGGATATTGAAGGCCTAAGATGTTGTTTGTCACGATTAGGTTCAAGGTGGGATGTGAATAAAAGGGAAACTCTAAGTTATCACCAGGGCAACTGTGGCAGGGAGAATTCAATGTCCCACAGATGCAAGACACACCATCTAGCCTTACAACAGGAAGAGAGGAGATGGTTCCCCCCCACACACACACTTCAGTTCCTAAAAAACCACCTAGCATTCTCCCTATAGTTCCCTCAGCTTCTAACCAATCAATCAAAAGGAAGAGAACACAAAGTCTGACAAGCAGAGTGCGAAAGGGGAGAGAGAAAACACAAGTGTTCTTGTGCCAATATCCTGTAAGCACAAACCTGGGAGTTCTCCAGAAATTAGGACAAGCTGGGTGTAGGGTACTAGGGAAGGACAGAAGAGTTCCTGAGGCCTGAAAAAAGAGGTAAACACATCACGGAACTAGAAGAGAGTTTTATTAGATTCTAACTAAAAACAGAGAGGTGTGATTACTATTTCCAGCCAGTTTCCCCATCACGATAGTCATGTAACAAACCAAGGCAATGTCGGTCTTGAGCCAGACTCACAGAGTCCCCTGGCCCTGGCCCTGGCCTCAGTACAGTGTCTCTGCATTGCTACTCCGGGGCCGTTTGATCTTCTCGATATTTTTCAGGATCATGTCATGTAGAGTGACCTGGGAGAAGAGGGATCAGGGAATCACACATCTGTTCAACCCTTACCTCACCAAGAAAATTAAATACTGCCACAAATCCCCAAGCTATCATTCATGTCATCCCAGTCCCACTCACTGAAACTGCATTCAGATTGGCTGTACTACCTCTCTTAAATCACTCAAGTGGGTCTGACTGAGCATTGCCCCAGAGTCTAAATGTACGATATCCCTTATTTTAACAACTTATTTTTGTATAGTAGATATTAAATCCCCTTTTAGAGATAAAGAAACTGAAGTCAAGCTTGAACAAGGCAGAAGTCACATATCATAAATGGAATTTGGTCCTAAACCTAGGTCTTTCTGACTCTAAGACTCATATCTAACCATTACACTATATTTCATATACACACCCACCTAGATAGAAAGGAGATACCCAGGTAGACCCCCCTCAATGATTTTATGTTCCCAGCACCCCTTCATGAGCAGAATTTGTTCTACAGTTTTGTTTTTTGTTTTGAGATGGGGTCTTGCTGTTATTTAGGCTATCCTTCAACTCACCATTCTCCTGCCTCAAGAGTCCTGAGTGGCTCAGATTACATGCACATGCTACTGCATCTGGCTGTTTTATTTATTTTACCACCAACCCTCAGAAAGTTTTAAGAAAACTCTCAAAAGAAGTAGAAGTCAAGGCAACTTCAGGCAAGAACCAAAGTTACTCACATATTGATTCCTCAGCTCTGATATGATAAGCCGAAGACTGATGTATTCTTTCTCATCAATCTCTGTCACGGTGCGGCGATAGTCCTCCTATGAGGAGAGGCAGAGAAAAAGGCTAGTCCCCAAGATCTGACTGTTCAGATAGCTCATTCCCAGTAATGTCACTCCTCCTTATCCTGCCTCCACCCTTTGGCCACAAACACTTACCACATGGGGATATTTAGCTATTTTAGAAACCAATTTGGCTCTTGTAATATAATATCTGGAAGGAGAAAGAAGAGGAAGAAGCTGCAGGAGATCCTGAATAGTGCCTACCACCTCACCACCGCAAGTTATTGGGCCAAGCATAAGCAGCCCTACCTAGAAATCTGGTCCAGATAAGATGCAGCTTCACTCTCAACAGTTCTTAATTCTGCAACTGTCTCCTCCTGGGGAAAAGCAAACAAAAATAAGTGAGTCAAAAGCCACTTCCATGTTACTATACAGCAATCCCAAAGAGAAAATAGATAAAACAGGGGATATGACGTATCTCCCCAACCTTGTAATATAAGCATCTTACCTGAATGGACACACCAAAGTTGTTCCCATCTTCTATCCTGGGAATCAGGAGCTGTACCCACATTTTGACCTGGAAATTGCGAGATCAAAACATACATATGACGACTTTGGCCTTTTCTGCTGAAGCCCTGAAGCCCATGATTCATGATGCTGGAGCTAGATGCTAGGGACACAGGACTCAGGATTACCTAGTCTGCCAACCCCTACACATGCCTCCAACCCTGCATCCATCAGTTTTCACAGTTCAAGTGGAACTATTTAAGGCCAGCCCACAGGTCACTAGCCCCAGCCTTACCGTGTTACATTTCTCAATCAGCAGCCGGATCTCAGGTTTCACTTTCTCAATTATGTCCACCAGCTGCTGGTTGCTTTTTAGCATCCCACTGGGCATCACAAACACCTTTGTTCCTGGCAGAGATAGGAAGGTCAAATGATTAGGGTGGGAGGAAAACCTCAGCATCCTCTACCTTTTTCTCTTCTTCCCTGCACTCGTGAGATGCTATGACCACTCCTTTTTATCTGTCACAGTCCTACCACAACACCACTATCAGAATAAGAGAGAGACACATGCATTAATAGATGAATAGCTAAAGTATGCCAAAAGCTTTTCAGAATAAGGAAATTTTAAAAAGAAAGGAAAAAAAAAAGTGTGTGTGTGTGTATATATATATATATATGTATATGTATGTATATATGTTTGTGTGTATGTATGTATGTATATGTATATATATATATATATATATATATATATATATATATATATATCAGCAATTATAATTAAATGAGGAAAAAAAAAACCCAGAACTGGAATTTCCACAAAAAATCTGAGATGTGGAGTTTCAATTTCTAATT